TTATTACTGACCTCACGTGCTCGTGTCATTCGTTTTGCTGGGGGTTCGTTTTCCTTGGATCATACTGGAGCTTCCTTTTGGCATTCCACGTTTTGAACCCTTCGTGTAACCTTTTTATTTTTGTTTCTTTTCTGGTTTCGATCGCTTCCACTTTCCGAAAGCGACCTGACGCACTACGGATGTTGTGTAGGCATTGTGTAAACTTCTGGTCTTCCACTGTGAATATTGTGCTCACTACTGGAAAGTATCGATGCCGTTTCACTCTCGTCAAGTAAACTTCGCGATTATGTGACAAAAATTGTGCACTCCCGTGAAGCCGCCATGTTTGTTTACATATTTGATGCCATTTGACAGCTCGCGCCATTTTCGTACCCATTCTTCGTCCGGCCAAAAAACCCTATTGAGCCACCTTAATGCGGTCCACAAGCAACGCGGTGTGGCCCAGAAGAGACAACTGCCTCCCGCTTCCAAACGTGATGACATTGGAAAAGAAATTACACGCGGCGTGCCTGACATGGCGCGTCGCGTGATAAAAAAATCTCAAACAACCCAGCTCTGGAAAGGCAAACAAGTGAAATACAACGACCGCATCATATTTAATTTCTCCACCAAGAAGTTTAGTCACCCACTCCAGTCCTCCAAATTCACAGTGGCTGAAATCTTGAATGACACCACACGCTTCGACACCTATATGCAGACCTTGGCTAACCAGCTCAATCCTGATGAGAGTTTTGACGCCGACGACGAGTTCCAAGTCGACATGACTGTCATAGCAGAACCCGACGCCGGCAGAAGAACGACCCTCTCCATCTTGGGGAAGTTAAATATGACGACGGTCCTTCGCCATAAACGTTGCATACTCTCTATCAAGAATTCCGAAGATGACCTCTGTCTGGCCAGAGCCGTATGTCTTACAAAAGCACACCTCCACAAAGATGACAATAAGGAAGACTTCAACTACTGCAAAAATCTTCGACACTACCCCATCTCCTTAACGCGTTGCGCCAAATACCTTCACTGTGAAGCTGGTGTCCCCGAAGGTCCCTGTGGTGGTGAGGAATTGAAGAAATTCCAAGAGTACCTGGTCCCCGTCTACCAACTCAACGACATGAGCGTACACTTTCCCTATTGCATCACCTTTGAGGGAACCGTCACAGCACCTAAAGTCATACGTCTTCTCTTAAAGTCGGACCCGGAGGGAGGCAATGGGCATTACCACGGTTGTAACTCGCATTCCGGCTTCCTAGAGCGGAGTTATTTTTGCGATGACTGCAACCGCGGGTTTAATACCGACGACTTCCGTCACCACCCATGCGAAGGCCGGAGATGTAAAGCGTGTAAAACCATAGAGTGCGGACCCAAAAACACATCACCCCTCCCAACTTTACAGTCACTGCAATCGTCAGTTCTACGACGACACCTGCATGTCCCTCCACCATAACAAGGGCTTGTGCGCTACGTGGATTCATTGTGGGATGTGTTGCAAGGAGTTCCAACCAGATAAACAGCATCCTCATCACTGTTACTGGAGCGAATGCGGGAATTGCAGAGAAGAAGTCGACCTCCGCACCCATAAATGTTTTCTACAGCCCGTCCTGGCCATGGAAGATAAACCCAAGAAAAAAAGCAAAAGATACCTTTAAAAGACAGAAAAGTTAACCCCGACGTCTCCGAATACATCGAGCCTCTTTTGAAAGTGTGGTAAGATTTCGAAGCCATGCTGGACGAAGACGGTATTCATATCCCTATCCTCATCGTGGCCAAAACGTTAGAGAGCGACGAAGTATTTGAGTTTTATGGTCCCGAATGTACCGGTGACTTCCTAGCGTTCATGGATGAATTGGTGTACGGTCCGGAGGAAAATCTACGAAGTAAGCACGAATTGAGAGAAGTCATGGTTTATTTCACAATTTAAAGGGATATGATGCCGTCTTCCTACAGGAGCAGATGGTGAAAGAAAAGCGTCCCTTTGAATTTATCATCCCTAACGGCACGTAGAATCTCTGCATGCAAGTGGGCAAGATCGTCTGCAAGGACAGCATGTGTTTCCTCCTCATGGCCTTATCCGCTTTCTCGAGTATCTTTGGCATCCCGAGCCCAAGAAAGGATTCTTTCCACATAGATTTCATACCCCCGACAATCAGAATTACGTCGGCCCACACACTGCAGCCGAATACTATGACCCCGAGGGAATGTCAGAAAAAAAGAAAAAAGACTTTGAGGCCTGATACATGGAAGAACAAAGCAAGAACCTCACATTTGACCTGAAGAAAGAATTGGTAGCGTACTGCCGCTCCGACGTGAAATTGCCGAAAGCCGGTTGCCTCAAGTTCATAGATGAGTTTAAGACCATAGCTAAATTTGACCCCATGGAGAAATGCATGACGATCGCCCAAGCCTGCAACAGGTAACAAGAGTATTCATAATATATGTTATATAATGTCATCCTTTTTTTAAAAAAGTTATGTATTCTTTTGATGGGCACTGGCGGAAATGTGTCATGTCCCCAGATTCCATCGTCATTGAACCGGAAAACGGCTGGGAAGGTGCCACACCCAACCATTCCCACGTGGCCTCAGAATGGTTGCTCTGGACCGAGCGAAACCTAGGGACGAGAATACAACATGCGAGAAACGGTGGAGAATACAGCATTCCTTACGGTTCGAGAGTCTATAGTGTAGACGGATACGATGCACAAACTCGTACCGTCTACGAATTCCATGGGTGCCTGTTCCAAGGCTGTAGAGAGTGTTTCCCGCAAGGAAACCAGATTCCCTTCTCTTCCGCTGGTCTCACGGTAGAAGCGTGGCGACGTCAGACGACCCAGAAAACTGCCACATTACAAAGATTGGGGTATACCGTCGTTAAAATGTGGCAGTGTCAATGGGAAAAGCTCAAGAAATCGTCTCCAGACCTCCGCAACCTTACTCAGTCTCTCTCTTTAACCACACTCCTCCATCCGCGTGAAGCCTTCTTTGGTGGACAAACTGGTTCGACCACACTTTATCACCGCATAGACCTCACCTAAGGAGAGCAGATCCGGTACGTGGACGTCACTTCTGAATACCCGTGGGTAAATAAATATGGGGAATACCCCATCGGAAATCCTACCATTTACTTGGAGCCTGACAACCAAGATCCTTACGCCTACTATGGCCTCATGAAAATGGATATTCTTCCTCGTACTTATCTTTTCAACCCCCGTGCTGCCTCATCGTCAAAAAATTGGTTCTGCCTCTAAACTTACCTCCCTCTCTGCCGTACCTGCGTCCAAGCTGCATCCGTCAAACCCATGGGAGAACGAAATTACGTGTGTCCCCACACGGATGATGAACGCATGTTAACCGGTACGTGGTGTACTCCTGAAATACACAAAGCCATCGCCATGGGGTACCAACTGAAACGCATACACGAGGTGTGGCATTTTGAGCATAAACGGCGTGGTCTCTTTGCTCTTTACGTCGATACCTGGTTAAAAATCAAGCCGAAAAGTAGCGGATACCCCGCCTGGTGCCAGAAGGAGGAGCAAAAATCCCACTACGTACAACAGTATAAAGAGCGTGAAGGGATCGACCTGGACCTCGCCATGATTGCCAAGAACCCTGGGAGGAAAGCCACGGCCAAGCTCATGCTGAATTCCTTCTGGGGCAATTTCGGCCAAAATTGCAACAAGTCTAAGACTCATCAAATAACACATCCCACCTCTCTGCTAAACCTTATTGACGATCCCTTGGAGCAGATACAGGATATCCGAGTCCTTTCCCCCGAGCTAGTGGAAGTAGTAGCTAAACACGACGATCAAGACCCGGATAAAGGACGTGCCACAAATGTCTTTATCGCTGCGTTTACGTGCCAGGCCCGCCTTAAACTGTACGAGTCGTTGGAAATTCTGAAAGATCGAGTCCTGTACTACGATTCAGACTCTAAGGTGTACAAGTGGAAACCGGGTGAAACAGAAATTGCGTTGGGGGATTATTTGGGGGATATGACAAACGAGCTGGATGAAGGGGACCACATTGTGGAGTTTATTTAAGCTGGTGCGAAAAATTATGGTTATGTCACCGCACAAGGGAAATCGTGTGTGAAAGTAAAGGGGTTCTCCTTAAACGTACGTGGAATTGCTCAGCGAAACTACGAAGTCGTGAAACAGAACATCCTGGAGGAAATACGTCACCCCCCGGATGAGTCAAGAAAGACGGATATCATCAACCCTGTACACTTTGTCCGCGACCCAGTTAAGAAAAAAATTAGAACAGAAACAGAAATTAAAGCATATAGGCTAGTATTCGATAAGCGTGTTATGGACAGTGGGACATTTAGATCGTTACCATATGGATATAATAGATTAGACGTTGAAGACCTCGAACTAGCAAGCCTTTTAGATAGTTAAACATTGGTTTTTTTTATTTTGTTCCAATAAAAAATTATTGTTAACAAGACAGTGTTTTAATTTTTCTTAAATTGCCTTAACCATAGTAACTTTTTTATAGCATGGGAAAATAAGTCACTGTTTACAAGATACAAAAAGGTTCTGGCCGTACTACGGCATGATTTGCTTTTGCCCACTGAAGTTTAGTCATGCGTCCTCCACTGTTACGATAGGCTGTATACCTCCTAGCATATCATTCTTCTAGGCGTTTGATTCGATCCGAGACTGGTTTTCCTTTATCAATGTTATACAACATCTTAATACCTTTAGAAATGGCAGCCACCCTGGATTTAAAAATAGCGGATTCGATACCCCTTCCTTTTGGTGTCTTTGGAGTTTTTCGTCGTTTACTAAATAGTGGGGGCTTCCTCCGTTTCTTGCTTTTGCGGGGCTGCTGTCGCGTGACACCTTTTCCCCTGGTGATACCTCTCGTCACGCCTACCATGATGCGACTGCTTGCACATACACTCGTGACGAATTATTTAACCCTTCTGAAATGTAGCGTGACGATGCTTGCTCCATCTTTAGTAAATTTTGTCAGATTATTATTTTCCGATTTGCTGAGTTGCGTTTCCACCTCGTCGATGTGTTGATTTCGCAAAGAGATGTAATGAATGTGTTTCGGTTCGTAGTAATAACTCCCTTTCAATAGAGGGCGATACTGAAATGTACGCAACAGATCGGTGGTCTGATCCCCCATGATCACGGGAGCACACAAGGAGGAGTAGAGATAAAGCGTGTGAGGGGCCATACCATTGTGATAGTTACTTTTTTCAGATGAATGAACGTGTGAGTGAATTCGCGGAGAAAAAAGAGTTGAGTGTCTACCACCACGTTGTCTGAACCTTTTATGCTACTACATCCTATTCCGTATCTCTAGACATTATAGCTAGAATCGCTCGGATTTCTTGTTTCGGTAAATTTTTTCCCTCTTTTCCCAGCCTTTGTAGGTGATGTCCTTTATCCATCCAAAAAGAAGGCACGAATCTTTCCGTAACTGAAAGTTCACATTTTCCGCACTCACAGTAATACTCTCGTTTCCTTCGTCGTACATCACATCAAACTGTAACGGTTGATCTCCTTCGTATAACGAATCGTAATTTTGAAGCTGATCCAGAAATTTTACGTACTCTGCTTCAAATAAGGCTTGAAGTAGAGTATACGCCGTCTCCATGCGTCGATGCTTTACATCACCATAGTTCACCCTGGCCGAAACTTCAGTCAGGGCACCAGAACTCCCTCTCTTGCGATAAACGACTCTCCACGTTTTGAGCATGGCTGACCCATTGGATAATCTTTTGAGGTAAGGTATCAATATCGATTCGTGCGGAAGCGAAATACTGGACATCCCTACTTCCCAGTCACCCTCCAAATCCAAGTGTTGGTAGAGGCGATTTTTCCATGAATTGCTGGTGTTTCCGGGAAAATATTTAATGCTTCCATTGTTACTCGGTAACGTGAAGTAAAAGTTACTCATGTTGTAGCGTGTGAACAAATGAATGATTTTTTCAGGTGTAATGTCTTTATTTAATCCTTCTAAAGTGCAATGTGTCGATGCTTGCTCCGTCTTTAGTAAATTGCGCCAGATTATTATTTTCCAATTCGCTGAGTTGCGTTTCTACCTCGTCAATGTGTTGATTTCGCAAAGAGATGTAATGAATGTGTTTCGGTTCGTAGTAATAACTCCCTTCCAATAGAGGGCAATACTGAAACGTACGCAACAGATCGGTGGTCTGATCCCCCATGATCACGGAAGCACACAAGGAGGAGTAGAGATAAAGCGTGCGAGGGGCCATACCGTTTTTATAAGTGCTTTCTTTAAGACGAATGAACGTGTGAGTAAACTCGTGGAGATAGAAAATGATACTGTCGACGACCACGTTGTCAAAACCTTTCACAGTGCCACACTACAGGCCATATCTTGTGGGAATATAGTCTGAATCCTTCGGATTTCTTGTTTTGGTAAATTTGTTACCGCGTTTTCGCAATACGAGATTGGGTCCGTTTGTATAGATGGGTTTTCCGTCATAGGTAATATTCTGAACCCACTCACAAAGTAGGCACAAATCTTTCCGTATATGAAAGTTCACATTATCCTTAAAGTGATAGAAAGAACTAAAGAGATTTTCTGGTACTTTTGCTGCCGACACCGTAGGGGATTCCTCCCTTTCGTTGAAAATCGTATCAAATTGAAACGATTTATTTCCGGGATGAACTATAGAATCGTAATTTTAGAGTTGATCCAGAAATTTTAGCCATTCTGCTTCGAACAAGGCTTGGAGTAATTCATACACCGTTTCCATGCGTCGATGCTTTAAATCGCTATACTCCACCAGTGTGAGTATCGACTGATCGAGATTTTCTCTCGAACGGTAAACCATTCGAAATGTTCTCGGCAATATGGAACCGTCGTTGAGTCCTTTGAGATACGGTATCAAGAGCGATTCGGACGGTAAGGAAATGCTGGACATACCTACTTCCCAGGCCCCCTCCAAATCCAAGCGTCTGTTGAGCCGATTTTTCCAAGAATTGTTGGTGTTTCCTGGAAAATATTTGACACTCCCATCGTTACTCGGTAACGTCAAGTAAAAGTTACTCATGTTGTATCTATTTTCAAATGATTTGTGTTTCAGAAGGACGCAGTTGTTTTATTAATTTTCTTTCTAAAATGAAGCGAGACAATAGAAGCACCGTCTTTGACCTGTGTCAGTGAGTTTGTATCCGTTTCACTTATTTGAATTTCAGTCTCGTCGATCATGTAATTCCGTAATGGAACGTAATGAATCTTTGGAGGTGCGTAAAAAAGCTTCCATGTAATCGAGGTTGATACGGAATTTGTAGTAACAGATCGGTTCTTTGTGAACCTATAGTGACTGGATCTCCTATAGAGGAATACACATAAAAGATTCTGGAAGCCGATGTCCCTCGTTTATAAGCAGACCGCTTCGTGTTTATAAATGTCCACATGAGCTCGTGAAGATAAAATTTGAACATCTCCCCATTTTCTTCCATACTCCAATATCTTTTCAATATACTTGAATCGGATCTGGATTCAAACCATACGTTAACGCGTTTTCTAGACGCTAGATTCGCAGCATTTTTAAACGTGCTGACATTAAACCTCGCTTTTGGTTGTATCCATCCCAATAAAATGCACAAATCTTTACGAAGCTCAAAATACACGTGATCACGGACGTCGTTGTTAGAAAGAGTATCTGGAATTGTCTTCTCTGCGGATACCGTGCAGGTTTCTAGAGCGTCGTTAAAGGAGACGTCAAATTGTAAGTCAGGAAATTTTCCCGTAGGCATTTCATTGGCCCACACCCCAGATTCTCCCAGGTTTAAAAGATACTTTTCACGTTCCACTTCGAATAAGGCTTTGAGAAGATTGTGTGGTGTGTCCAGGGGTTTGTCTTTGATATCACTGTAATGCACGTAAGTGGTCGTGACATCAAGCTGTTGCGTGACCACCACGTACACCCGTCGTTTGGTGGTGAGTAGTCTAGTGGCAAATGGGAGGTTATTGAGGTATTTTTTCAATCGAGATTCGTGCGGGAGTGAAATACTTGACATACCCACTTCCCCGTCTTTGTCTAATGCAATTAGGGATGAAAGACGATTTTTCCAGGAATTGGGAGTATTTTCTGGGAAATACTTGATACTGTCATCGTTACTCGGAAGGGTCAAATAAAACGATTCCATCGTCGCTCCAATAAAGACACAAACAAATGATTCCTTTTCAACACGCTTTATTTCTTTTAATTACAATGCAGCTTTTACTTTCGCTTACATGATGCGTTTTACGATGCGCTCGGTCATGGTGTTTTTACCGAATCGTTGAATACCGGTAATCATTTTACGATCGGCCTTGTGTTTATCAGCTAGATTTTTAGCTTTACTGTAATCGATATCGTGCTGTTTGGGTATCTTATCGAGACGATTAATACCCGGATCCCCGCGTTTAAGACGCATGGCTAATTTCGTACCCGGCCCCATATACTGATAGCCGGGCCAATGAAATTCTACACCCAGTTTATTAATCCATTTTTGAAGATCTACTTTTCCTCCAGATTGCCTACTTCTTTTACTTCTTGCCCTTCCCTTTACCTTTTCCTTTGCCCTTGTCTTTTAGCGCTTTGTATTGGGCATGTTGTACGGCTTTTACTGGATCCCAACCTCTCACGTCCCACGGGTCCCACACTGGCTGGGTGGTCTTTTTGACTTTGGGAGAGGGTTTATGAGAACTCCCCGCCTTTGGTCCAGTGAGAGGAGTCGATCGAAGGTAACCATCGTTTTCCCATAAGAATGGGTGTCGAAGGTAGGTCTTTGAGACTTCTCAGAGTAAAAGGAAACCTGATGGGTTTAGGGGTAGTAGTTCCCGGTGTAGAAAATAATTTCTTGAGTGTAAATGACCTCTTTTTTTGCTTTCTTTTTCTTGGAAGTCGAAGGTGTAGCAAATGCCTCTTCGACTATTTTGGCCGGCTCTTTGACTGTTTTGACCGAACGAATTAAGTCTTTAAGCAGGTTCTCTTGTACTGAATCTAATAAATTCCCCTGATCTCCGCCTTCGCCCGTCTCAGGTCCTGCGCCTGTGGGTAATTCTA